TAGCTAGTGATGAATGGTGGGTAACGAAATGGAGTGTCGAGTGGCAGCGCTATGGTGGTGGACGTAGTGGTGCCATACGATGACGAGGTGGATGATGATTGCGATGCAATCGGCGCTAGGCTATTGGCAGTGTGATGGGGCAGATGGTGTGGGGTGCGCATCACGCCGCCACCACCGGCAATCGAAAATATGACTTCGGCATGTGCGTCGCCTGTAGCGGCAGTAATGGCGCCTGCTATCTGTGGCTGAGACGTCGGCAGGTGTATAGGTGGGGCCAGCAAACCGAACTGGTTGGCGCGCAGATCTCGGTTCGCCTGATTGGCAGCCATTCGCATCTCCACGCAAACGGGCTTGTGGAAGTCCGACGTTGGAAGCGAAATTACACCCTCGGCATCGGTGAACTCCTTGAAGTCCTGCAAAGGCAAAAGCAATTCACAGAATTTAAATTAGTTTGACAAATTCGAAATTGTGGTGATATGTGCGTTGAATCGGTGGTGGACAACAAGAAAACTTGAACTTGTTGGCAGGTTTGGGTATGCGGTTGTAGATGGCGGTGTGTAGAGGTGTGATGAGGTGCCCACGTAATAGGAGCAAATCTATTTACAATTGCAAATTAGACAAATTGTTTAAGTTTTTTTTGTTAGTACGCGAATAGCGGTGGTGCATTTGATGTTAATAAGTGTATTGCTTGTGAAAAACAAACAGAGCCATTTCGGCAATGGTAACTTCGAATAAAACATTAATTCAGCGTTTTCATCTAAAAGAAGTAAGGAACGAAACTGAACATTGTATTGAACATAAGAAAAAGTCACATACAAAAGGAATACGTAAGTTCATTTTGATCAAATACACTTCAATCTCCTTCAGTTTTCAAATCAATTAATGCGCACACTATTTCGAAAGTATTATTCCGAAACTACTTACCACTGAATGCGTGTGTTTTGTGGCTTTTCATAATAAAAAAAAATACTTGGAGATCCGAATAAAAAATCTATCTAATTCTTTTTTTTGCTTTTATCTGGAGCTTCCAAAAACTAATCTATATGTATATACAATTCGCGAAGGGATTTTTTGCCTAGGAAATAGAATCTGCACCGTTCGCTCAATTTTCAAAAATTGGGCGTCAAATTAAAGCATTTGGCATATAGATGTGAAAAGAGTTGCCACCTGTTAAAAAATTAAATTCAAATTATTTAAGATTCAAAGTCATCAAATCTGCGCCGTTCTTTAAATTTCTGTGACTCGGTACAAATATAAACAAGTAAGAAAGTCTAAGTTCGGGCGGAGCCGAACATTAAATACCCGGCGCAATTATTAAATATATGTTTTCCACCTTTCCGAAAGCTACCGCTACACGATAAGCCGGGGTGTATAAATTTTAAGTAAATTAGCGTCCTTAAATTTCGAAATATTGCAGTTTCAAGCATTTCTGAAATATACCGTTATATGAAAAGCGGTCGTAATTTTAGTCCGATTTCAATAATTTTCAACGCTTTGCTTTTATGTGGCAAGCACAATAACCATACCGAGTTTGGTTCAAATTGCTAGAACGGTTAGCGAGATACATATATGTGATCATAAGTGGGCGGTGCCACGCCCATTTTCCAAAATTGTATCATAAGCGTATTTCTTGGTAAAAAATTGTTGCAACCATCAATTTTGAATAAATTAGCTTTAATATTTACTGATTTATCGAGGATTTCGTATTTTTCTAAATTACCGTTATATGGGATGTGGGCGTGGTTATTGTCCGATTTTAAAAATTTTCAGCCATTTGGTATGTTGTAGCAGGACCAACAACTGTGCCAAGTTTGGAAGAAATTGGTGCAGCGGTTACCAAGATATACACATGTAACCATAAGTAGGCGTGGCTACGCCCATTTGCCAAAATTTTTTAATATTCTTATTTTTCGCACTACTATTAAATATCGCACTTTTCGTATTTCTGAAAATTACCGTTATATGGGAGGTAGGCGTGGTTATTGTCCGATTTCGCCCATTTTACCATCCGTCCTATGCCCAAAAGAAGTCCACGTACCAAGTTTCGTTACGATATCTCAATTTTTACTCGAGTTATCGTGTGCACAGACGGACAGACGGACAGACGGACGGACGGACGGACGGACGGACGGACGGACAGACAGTCACCGCTTAATCGATTTCTCTTTTCATTCTGATCATTTATGTATACATTTGTCTATATCTATCTCGATTCGTTTTGCCTGTTGCAAACAACCGTTATGTGAACAAAGTTATAATACCCTTGTGCACAAGTGCGTTCGGGTATAAAAAATTACTTTTCGTATTATGCTCGCAAGCTCGACCAAAAATTCCTAATTGTAAGCCCTCCCGAAGTTTTATCTTTATGTCACTTGTTTGCTTCAACAAAAAATAAATATTCAAAATTGACAAACCGTAGAAAAATTTTGCAAAGCCCTGTTTTTATAAAAAGGATTTGTTCGTATTTAAATAAATAGCAGAAATCGGTCTAAAATTCTTAAAAAAACGAAAAAATTAGAAAAGTATTTAATTGAAAATATTAATAATTACAAAAACAAAGTAAAGCAAACAATTTTCTACACATATACATGTATCAGTTGCAAACAATTTAAATTACATGCATGAAATGTATGAAAATACATACATATATGGGAAAATCTAAAAAAATAGGTACACTCTCAAAAAAAAAACTTGAAACTTGCGCATTATTACACTAAAATTAATAGGCTATAAAACTGTATACTCATAACTCATTTTAACATTTCTGAAAAACAAGTTTGAAATTTTGATGAATTTTTTTCAGTGGTCTGCAAAGTTTTAAGCTCATATATTAAGTTTCTATGGTATTTGTTAGGGAATGAATTTTTTTTAATTGAAAATCTTTTTAAATTAAAAAATAAACATATGTATACACATAAGTGCTAAAGCCCATTAAATCTCAAGTCAGAATATGGTGTGCTTCAAAAGTTAAGATATAATTAATTTTGCCTCTCTTAAAAATTACATAAAAAATTAACTTTTTTTCATTACTTTTTTAAATTCAAACAACTATAATTCAAAAGTTATGCAGCAAATTGATCCAATTTTTTTTTGAGGATTCAAGTATGCTTCAATGAATTATATCCAAAAGCAAACAGCTTGATATACATAGTTTCCAACAGTGAAAATAAAGCTAAATAACATCAAGGTTACCTATTTTTTAGATTTGCCCATATACATACAAATGTACATAAATCCATGCATGCCCTCAACAGGGGAATTTTGTTCGGTTGTGTGCCTGATACGTATGTATGTATGTATGTGTATACGATACTTACCACTCAATAAATGATTTTGGTATTTAGTTTAATAGGTGTATGTGCGGATGTTTATGTTGATCACAAGTGATTTTTGTGTTTTGCTTGCTTGCTTGTTTAGTATCGAATATATATATCCATGCCACTTGATAGTGATTATTGGCCAATTCGTTATATTTTTCCGAACAAACAACTATTACAGCTACAACTACTACAGTTCAACTATTAAATTATAAAGGTAGTGTTACAGTCTCATAAAATAGAATCCGATAGATAGATTGACAATACATTTTGAGAATGTAATTATGGAATAGTGAAAAATTCCAAATTTCTGAGAGATCTCAGGATGTGAGAAATGAATTTGGAAACAGCCGACTAAACATTCAAAAAGTTATGCAAAGTTTTAAATAAAAATAATGAGGCTCATAAAAACTAAATAACAAAATCCATTCTTTAGTGCACAGCCACGATTCAATAATTAAAGGTTTGCTCAATAGTGACATTCGAGTTTTGACACTCCCTTAGCTCCCTTACAAAAGCTTTGTACACACACACGAACCCACAGACACAGTGCCTTGCTAAGGGAGAAAGGGCGCCGATTTTGTCAAGAGGGAGCGAGAAAACTGTTTTTTGAGCAAACCTCATGGCACACAGCCACTTTTTTCTGAATATAGTATTTTCTTAAGAAAGTGAGAAAAAGTGTGTTTATTACGTTCTATTTATTTTTATGTGCTACATATTTAATTTATATCCATAGGCATTTCACAACTTAAATTGAATATTTAAATTAAGCTAGTTAACTAAGTTGCAATCACTACTAATTTTATTTAAAAACGCGTTGAAGAGTTTTAGAATTAAATTCTACAAGCTGGGCGACTGCACAGAAAAAAAATTTCTGTATTAGTCCGCTTTTCCGCCTCATAACTATGTAGTACATGTACATACATATGTATGGTCGTCTGGCGAGCAATACTCCGTAACCGCCAAATGCGAAACATTTTACAAAATAGCAAAAATTTATTTTCTTTGAAACTAAACCTTAGCTTCTATTACATATAATTATTTACTATTAAATTAAGAGAATAGACTAGGTAAAGGATAACAAACAAAAATTGTTTCGTCGCCTCATACGTGGTGCTATATTTGGTGGATCTGAGTTACTGCGCACCAAGCGACTATGTATACGCACCTAAGTATGTACATATGTATGTATAAATGTGGATGCTTGCGATTTCTATGCTAAACTCTATTATATAAATTATCTTATGCAAATATAATTCATTATAAATTATTTTAACAAAAGCCATATAATTTTTTAAAAACATTTTCCTATAACATTTTAAGGCGGTTAATATGTAAATAATAGTTTCTCCTTTGACACACAAAAATTCACAATTATTTTTTCAAAAAATTCTTAACATGTTCTACATATGTATGTATGTCTTTTAGGTTGCATTTGTTTATATCGATTGGTACGCCTTCAATTATTCAGTTTAAAGTAATCTCTTTTTTTTTTAAATTTCCAATTGGTCTTCAGTTCAACTGCAGAGAGAGAGAGAGTGACTCGAATCCGTTTTCAAAAACACGAGTATACTTTCATTAGTTATTTAAGTATTTATGTATGCACAAAATTTCGGAACGTCTATTATCGATTCCTAGTGTGCGCGCTTCTAATTATTTAAATGTGGTATTTTTATTTTCTTTCAATCTAAACGCTATTTGCACGCAATGGAATACACTCGCCTTGACATCGTGGATAGCCCTTAAAATAAAAATGAAAATAAGAAATTAAAATAATTACAGAAATAATGTTAAATATCAAACCGATTACTTAAATAACGAACAAGACATTCAATTCTTAAATTTGGTTTCACTGTTTAAGCAAATAAAAATTAAAAGTGTTTCTGGTTAAAATAACGATGGGCAAATGTTTTTTTTTTTTAACGCAAAAAAGATGACAGTTTTGAAGCGTGTATAGAAGCTATGAGACGGAAACAATTTGCGAGATGAGAATGACTGTTACTTAAATAAATATGTATGTATGTACAAACATTAACACACTTCATGAAGAAATATTACAGTTTCTTTGTTTTATTAATGATTTCCCTGACTGGTCA